GGGCAGCGCGTCGTGTGAAGGACGGGGTTGCGGCGGGCTCGCCGCGCCCGCGCGGTTCCCGAGACACGCTGGCGGCACACGCCTCCGCGGCGCTCCTGGTTAGAAACAACGGACAAAACCGTACTCTCAAATATCCTTAGTCTTTTCTAGTTTGTTTGGTTTTTTAAATTTTTTTTCCTTAAAATAAACGTTTCACATAGTCACTGTGGGGAAAACAAATTTAAATTATTGACAAAGTCATCTGTAGCAGGTAGCAGACGACTGGTAACAAGTTGTGGCCATGCCTTTCATCGGCACGGCGCTCATGAAGTCAGGGCCCTAACAAGCCCCCGTCATTCCGAAGCCTTTCCTGGCTCCCATGTTCTCGGCCCGTCTTGGCACCTACTGCCCTGCCCCGCCCCGCCCGCAGCCCCCGCCACCGTGGGGCGCTGTGAGCCCCTCGGAGGAGGGTCACCTGTGGGCCGTGGCGGCCTGCAGCGTCCCAGGGGTGGGAATCCCCAGGCATCTGCTGGAGGAAGGGCGGACCCGCCCGTGGGGGTCACGCGGCTGGTCTGTGGTGCCTGGACACCAGGCTGGACATCGCTGGGAGGGCACTTTCGAACGAGACTGGCAGTTCCACCTGCAGACCGAAGGTAGAGCGGATGACCCCCCACAACGAGGGTGGGCCTCACCCAGGGGGCGGGAGGCCTGGAGAGAAAAGACTGGGGTCCTCTGAGGGAGGGAGGGAGGAATTCTGCCCCCACGGCCTCCAGACGCCAGGCGGGACCATCGACTGTCCCCTCGGCCCCAGGCCGCCCTGCAGACTTCATGCTTGCTGTTCTCATCATCGCCGGAGCCAAAGTCTTACGATAAATCAATCTCTCTGTGTGTGTGTGTGTGTTGTGTGTGATGTGTGTGTGTGTGGTGTGTGTGTTGATGCACGGTGGCTCTGTTTCTCTGCAGGGCCCTCACACACCACCTTCGGGAAACTGTCCCCACCCGGCAGCAGTCGGTAGTCGCAGGGCCCCGCTGGCCCCTCTCTGGCCTGGCCTCCTCCTTCTTCCTCCTGGGGGGGCAGGGCTCCCCAACGCGCAGCACTTGGACCTCCAGCCCCCCTCTCCAGGGTCCCGCTCAGATCTTCCACCGGCAGCCCCGGTCCGACTAGACGCCACCGGGACGGGACTGACGAACCCGCCTGTCACGAGATGCAGCAACGCTAGGACCGTGAGGACGACAGTACCCAGGGAGGGGAAGGGGCCGCCGTGCGAAGACAGGCCACCGGCTCCTGCCCTGGAATGTCCACACCAGCCCGGGGACCCCTGCGAGGGGGGCCAGGTGCTCGGCTGGGACGCAGAGGGCAGGCGGGAAGGCCGAGGGACAGGCAGGTCGTGAGAGGGGGCAGGAGGTTTGAGACCTTTGTGCAGAGTTTGGTTCTGGTTGGAAACATGAGGACAGTCGGAAGTAACACTGGGTCCCCAGGTCTGGAGCCAGGACCAGAACTCGGTGCTCTGTTTGTCACCGAGGACACCTGTGACCCCTGACGGGATGAGGGCACCTCCATCTCTGACAGCCCCTGTGACAGCACGCGTCTTGCCTCCTGGCTAGATTAACCCTGTCAAGGGTCAGCACAATGCCCTGTTCTTTCTCTACAGCCTCCACTCCACTAAATACCAGGCACCTGACTGAGTATAAGATACCTTAGAACTACTCTTTTCTGTATTTTCACCTACCAGACTCTTCTTGGAATATTTGCAATTAATCCACTCAACAAATACCTCTTGAATGTATTCATTCACTCAACAAACACTTGCTAAGGCCCAGAAGACATTAAACATGGCCCCAGGGCTGTGCAGGGGGCTCCAGGCGCCGGCCCAGGCAGCCGAGGTTTCTGCCCGAAGTCCCACGGGAAGACGCACGATGAAAGAGCAGGTGCAACACGAGTCCTCGGAGAAGTGGCTGGTTCCAGGGCTGGGGCCACGAATATACAAGATTGTCTAGAGCACCTTACAGCACCAAAAAGAAAGTGTCTCACACACACACACACACACACACACACACAAAGGTGGGCGTGCATCAGAAAGGAAAGAGAAGCCGAATGAAAGTGCTCCCAACGGCCAAAGCTGAAGCAATTTGAACAAAAAGATAAAGAAAGCAGTATTGGGTTATAAACCAAAGTGTAAAATAAATATCCATGAGTCTTCACTGATATAAACACACAATTGAGTACACGGGTAAATTGGGAGAAGGGACGAGTCTCGTGTGCAGAAAAACGACAGAGGATTATGCAGCTGGTCCGCCCTTAGGGGACGGAGCCTCCCCATCCGCCCTGCAAGTGCGCTGGGCTTCACGACTCCCTTCCACCCGGCACAGTGTGGAGAGCAGAAGAGTCACCTCCCCGCGGGGAAACACGACAGACGCCGCCTCAGCCGGGTGTTCAAGCTCAACGCCAGCAGGGATGAGTCAAGTTGATTCCCGTCTGCACCTTCCACACGTGATGGAAATGTCTCTTTACCCCTGTGGTCTTCCTCCCAGCACACATCACCCCCATCTAATCAGGAGGGAAGACATCAGACAAACCCTGACTAAGGGACATTCCGCTAAGTACAATATGGGCCTTTCTGTTGAATGAATAGACAAGCGTTCGCTTTTATTTCAAAGAAACGCACATTTCCCTCCCTTCCAGACACCTGGGACCATGACAGCTAAAAGGCAGCGTTCTGGCGCTGCGTTTCCAGGCCGGAAAGCCCGAGCTGTCAGGCTTGAGTCCCTCTGTAAGCACGTGCACCCCAGACCGCTCCACTCTTTGGGTAAAGGCCCAAGAGGCCACCCAGAGAATTTACGGGTCTTCTAAGGAGCCTCTCACCCAACTCCCCTTCAAATCTCCTGATATCGCAGAGGGAGATCCACACTTTACACATTTGGTGCCAGTTAAATTCACGGTCTCAGAAATCACCATTAAGATACAGAGAGAAGGTAATAATCAAATGAATTCATGCCGCTGATTCCAGCCAGGACTACAGTGTCTTGTTTTCAGAATGTTGTGATCCTGTTAAGTGGACATGAGGGTTGTAATCATCTCCTGGATGTGTTTTCCTACTTGGCCCACGAAGTCGAGCCATCCAATCACAGCTCTAGATGCCTTTGCATGCCTTAGCCATTCCACATCATTAGCATAACACGTTCAACGCTTAAACCGTGTGTAATTCCCAAAGAACTTTACAATTCACTTAGAAAAATTATTTTCCTATGCAAGCAGATGAGGCTGGCTGGAATATTTGTCTGGGGGAGGGATGGAGGGGAGACGTGAGTCCAGGGTGGTCCGAGTGTGGGGACAGGCACAGCCTGGAGGGCCCTCCTGGTGGGAGGCCGTCCAGTGCGGAGCCTCAACAGGCCTCTGTGCCTCTCCTCCCCCACCCCCGGGGTTCAAGTTCATCCCAGGGGCCACCCCAGAGTGCTCTAAACTTGACTCAGGGGCAAGTCTCTGAGAACGTGGTTCTCAAATAAAATATTTCCTAGGCGGATTCTTATAAAGTCTTGGCTCACCTTCCATGACATCTTAAGAACCACCGTCAATCCTGTTTCATGGGAGAGTATGACCCGACAAACAGCATATGGTTTAGGTGGGGACATTTAATTACCAACCAATTTTGTGGAATAAGCAAGTCACGCATCTCCTGTCTGATGTAGGACAGGTTTGAGCCTGCAAAGCCAGGTCTCCAAACAGCTTCCAACGTTCCCACCCCACCGGCCCCTGCACCGCCCCTTGCGCTGGCCCAGACCTTTCTGACGTGGGTCCCTGAAAAGGGGGGAACGCAACGGGGTCTCTCAATGGTGCGCCCCGCTCTGCCTCCCCTAGGAGGCTTCAAAGGATAGAGGTAACTAATAAAAACAACCCTGCACCTCCCCTAAGTGGTCATTAATTAATAAAGAACCTCCGGGTTGCGCTTGGCGACGGTGCACACTGGTACCCGGCGGGCTGGAAGGGAACCGGGGGTCCAGCAAGGGGGTGGCTGTGTCCAGGCAGAAACGCAGCCGGCCCCTCACCCTGCCCCATCGGGGCGGCTCGGGCGAAGCCTCGCCACGGTGGGCTCCCTCGGCCCGGCAGAGCCCCCGTTCTCGTGGCCGCCCAGCCCCGAGCGCAGGCTCCACCCGCGGAGCCCCGCACCGGTGCCCGCCCAGAGCAGACCCGGCCCGCCCCCGACGCCCCCACGGGAGGGCCCCGCGCCCCCACGCTCCTGCACCCCGCTCGCCACCCTCCCGGAGGACGGCCCGCCCCGCGCCCCGCGCCCCCTGCCCCGGGGGCGGTCCCGCCCCGCGCCCCGCGCGCGCCTCCCGCAGCCCGCCCGAGCGCGTCAGGGCAGAGGCGGGGTGGGGCGCGGTTAAAAGGCGCCGCAGGTGGGAGCCGGGCCTCGTCCCGAAGCCGGCGGGACAGCCCGACTGCCGAGCGTCCCGCGCCCGCCCCGAGCCGGCGGCGCCCGCGCCGACCCTCCCGCCAGCCGGAGCGGAGGGCGCGGCCCGCGGAGCAGGTAAGGGGCGAGCGGACTAGAGCAGGTGGGGGGCGAGCGGGCTGGCGGGCAGGTGGGGGGCGAGCGCCACCTCGGCCCCTCGGTCGCAGGCGAGGTGGGGTCGTCGGCTCGGGCCCTCCCGCGCCCTGGTCGCCCCCGTAGGGCGCGGGGGCTGCCGGCAACCCCCAGCCGGGCCCTGTGGCCGCGGGCGGTCGCGGATGGGGGGCGCACGTGGAGCTCCGGGACCCCTCCCCCGCCCCCGCCGCGCCCCCCGCGTCCGCGCTGTGCCTGCGCGGCGGAACGAGGATGGGCAGGTTTGGCCGTCGCCCTGCGTGGCCCCGCGGACCTGCGCGGCAGGTTGTGTGAGTGTGTGATGTGGGGCAAGGGCCGGGGTGGGCCGGGGTGGGCCGGGCCCCTTGCCCCGTTTCGCTCGCTGCTTTGGATGTTCTTGGCTGTCCGCTCGGATTTGCGTTTTGCGGAGGACGCCGGGTGGAGGATGGGTGTTCAAGGTCAGCCGAACCCGGCGACCCGGTCGGCCGGCGGCTGAGTCGCCCGCAGAACCGACCAGTAGGGCTGCATGATGCATGTCCGGGAACTTGTGACATGCCCGAGACAATAGTGGGGACCACGGCAATTAAAAGTAATTGGTGACACATCTCAGTAAAATGGTGCAGGCGCCGGAAGGTACTTCCTGTTGGGTGAAGGAGACCAGCTCCCGGTGCCACCGAGTCCCGCGTTTGCCGGCGGGGCTGGCCTCCGTCCCGGGGTGAGTGCGGGGCGCACGCGGGGGCTAGGGGCCCCGGCCGGCGGCCTCAGCGTCCTCTAGCAGCCCGCTGTCAGTTGAGTGCCTGCTTGGCTTTGACTGTGCGCGGTTGTTCTCTCCCTTCGAGTGGACTTTATCCCATAGAGCTATTTCCTTGCCCCAGTTCTTTTTTTTTTTATTTTGGCATATTATGGGGGTACAGATTTTAAGGTTTCAATAAATGCCCTTTCCCGCTCCCCCCACAAGTCTGAGTCTCCATCATGACCATCCCCCAGATGGTGCACATCTCACTCATTATGTATGTATATACCCGCCCCCTCCCCCCTGCCCAACACCCTATTACTGTAGTGCCTATGTGTCCACTTAGGTGCTGCTCAGTTAATACCAGTTTGCTGGAGAATATATCTGGTGCTTGTTTTTCCATTCTTGTTTGCCCCAGTTCTGGCTGAATCTAACCAGTGTTCTAGAAGAAAATGTCCTGCCCCGATGCGATTTCCTTAGAATTGCAGGATGCTGCTCCAAACCGCTCCCAGGGAGAGCTTTGTCTGCTGTTTGGATCCCGCAGAGTCTTTGGGGGTGCTGTTGGAGCCCTGCCAAGGAGGGGGATTGGGAAGAGAGAATACCAGGGCTCTAGCCTGTCACATAAGGGGGGGGCATGAAGGGCTCCCCGTTGCTGCCACACAGGGAATAAAACCCGGAAGGTGCTAGTCAGGCCACCTGTCCCACTGGTGGTGGCTGTTATCTCGAAACAAATCCTTTTTTATTTTTTTTCTTTTCTGAGTTTTAAGAGGGAGTTGAGGAAAAGAACTACAAAAGAGCTGGCTAAGAGTCTCAATAGGGTGGGAGGAGAATTCTGGCCTGCACATCCTCACCACGCATCTTTTATCCACTCTGAATGTTCCGGGAGCCACAAGCAGTGTGTATACATTAGTTAAAATGTTAAATAGGATAAAATTGTGGGAATATAATTTTCCACCCAACCTGTTGGGCCGTGGGGCACAATCCACTTCTCAGGTCAGGTTTTCTGTTTCACTTGCTAGATCCATGAGCGTGCAGCTGGGCCCCAGAGGGCCTTTGCCCTTTTAATTCCCAGCGTCATTTAAATCCAGTTGAACTTAAATTTTTGGAAAAGATACAGGTTTGCTCAAATGAACAGATGCTGCTAAAAAAAAGAGCCAGAGAAGGAAAGCTGAACGTAATAGAAATTCTTTGAATTCATACATGAAGTAAGAAACATGTAGTTCCATGAATTGTGCCTGTCTATATTTCAGCTCCACAGAGAGAAAAAGATTTCACTTTTATTGAGTTAATTTTGAAGAAGTATGTGAATCCTAAATCCACTGTTATCACTAGTTATTACTTTGGAAGGACAGTTGCCGAAGTTTTTTGTCATCAAATTTAAAAATCAAGTATTGGATTGTACCTTAGAAGACTTGAGATCTCTAGAGACAAAAGATACAGATTCTTCTTGATAAAAGTTTGAGATTTTTTTTTAAAAAAAAAATTCCTGATTTAGGAGTTTGGGGCACATCCAGTGTCTCCAACTGCCCACACCCTTCCTTATTTCACGCTCGAGGAATGAGCCTGAGGTTTGAGAAGAGCGTGCACCGAAGAGGAGCTTTGTGTTGTGTGTCGGGAGTGTAAGCCGGGAGCATCCGGAATCTGACAGTTTCAGAACGTACCTCCTAACATGATGGAGAACCCCCCCACACACACAAAACTCATTCAGTAGACATAGAGGGGAGGAGTTGAAGGAATTTGGCAACCACTTTTGTCTTCCCTCCACAGGTGATAGCAGGCGACATCCTCACCAACACCCAGAAGCAGAGCAGAGATTGGCGTGGGTGTGGTCGCTCTGCGCCACCGGCTTCGGCACCCTGAGCGGGCAGGAGGAGAAAGCCTGCGGCCTTCAAGGGGGACCCTCCCTCCTTCTTCGTGCCTGAGACGCCGGGAGTCCTTGGAAACAGGCTCAGGTTTGCACGTCTCGCTTGGACCTTGTTTTCTTTCATCTGTGCAGACGCCTCGACTGCCCACAGCTACCGTGGAAGTCGGGAGGCGTGTGTTCTCAGATCTGTCCAATACTCACTGGATGACTTCGAAGGGGTCATTTGAAGGGAAACAGCTACCTAGAAAAAGATACTTTCTGCCTCTTGGTGAACGCACAGGGGTAACCATATAATTGTTAGGGCTTTCGCTTTGATTCTGTCGTCGGTGAGACTAAAATGGGACTATTAAGCAAGCTTAGTTGTGATTAAATTCTTAAATAAGAAGTTTTAAAACAATTGAGAAATTACATTACTGTACTAGAATGCCAATAGACCTAAATTATTTGCATTTTAAAAGGGAAGAACAATCTATCCTCATAGTACTGTGTGTACCCTAAAAATTAGGGCCAATGGTTTCCCTGTGTTTAGAGCTAAATATTTCATCCTGGAGGTTTACTGTCAAGACTGCGGCATGTTGTTGTTCACTAACTTTGTGGTTAAATAAACCACAAAAACAAATTCAGTTTACCTTTTTAAGTTTAGATGTGAGCACTTTCTTATAAATAGGAGACTACGGAAGCTAAGTACATCTGTTCTTTCCCTAAAAGAGAGCCAGCTTGTCAGGTTGGGGTAGATAAAGAAAAAAAAAGAGAGGAAGAAGAAAGAAGAGAGAGACAAGAAGGAGGGAGGGAGAAGGGGAGGGAGGGAGGGAGAAAGAGGAGGAAGAGGAAGAAGGAAGGGAAGGAAGGAAGGAAGGAAGGAAGGAAGGAAAGAAGGAAGGAAGGAAATTAAAAAAGAGAGAGAGCGAGCACACGAGGAAGGCACCAGTTAAAATAAACCTCTCTGGTTTACAAAGACAGAGTTAATCTTTTACTCCGCATTGAGAAACCTCCTCCCCTTCCCCCAGCCCTCTTGAGGCGGGAAAGGAGAGAGGTATTTTGTTTACTATGGGTACAAAGGGCTCCAGGGGATGCAGGTATTTTGGAAAATAATTCTAAATTCATGACAGTTCCCCAGAAATCGCCTTCACGTGTTCTCCAGCCAGAGCGTTGGAGAAAGACTGCGCCCTGGGGTCAGGAGTTTTATGGGGAGAGGCAGAGGGCAGGCGCTGTGTTGCCTGGTCCTTCCCCTGGGCCTCCCTGCGGTCACACACCGGCCACTGCACCTCTGCCCGCTGAGGGTCAGGGACGAGTGTCCTCTTTCGAACTTGCTGAATCTTCCCCACGGCCCCTTGAGTGGGAGGGTCTCCTGGGGGCCGCCAGGCTCTCCAGTGACTGTAGCAACGTGTTGGGAAGTTTGGGGTTCAGTAACCCCAAGACGGCCCCTCACCCTGGCCTCCCTCCTGACACTGGAGAGGTGAGCCCTCCCTTCTCCACGCGCACCAGAGAAAAGAATGGGAGGAGACGTCAGGAGACACTGGCTCAGGTTCACCTGCCGCCCGGGTGCAGCCCACTCAGGGCCGGGGCGCGTGGAGACAGCCCCTGCTCTCAGGCCATCTCTGCTGCTGTAGGGGCCTTTGTGGTCTTGCAGGAGGGTACCTTGAATCAGGTGACTCTCTAGAGCGACCCGGGAGGTCACTCAAGACACGCCTGTGTTTGGGTTTAACCTCATTTTTCTCAGTGGCCTCGGCATCTCATTGGTTTTTCTTCCTTTAAAGGCACGGGTATCCAGGTATACTACTTGCTAAAAAAAAAATAAATAAATAAATAAAAAAAATAAAGGCACGGGTAAATTGCTGGTCCTTCTGTCAGCACTGTGAAGTAAGCCTTGTCAAACAGACTGTTTGCCACTTTGATAGAACAGTCTCGAAGCATGTCGTTCGGGGACCCAGAAAAAGCAAAAGAAATAAATAAGGCTAAGGCCTTCCTAATTGTCTCTGTTTTTGAAGAGGGTGACTTCAGCCTCGCAGAACTCCTGCAGGCCGCCTCGATCCGTTTGCCTCCTAGAAGGACAGGTGACAGGTGGCCACGCAGGTGTGGCTGTCCGGACAGGCCACGCGCTGCAGGCTGGGAGAACACAGCCCTCTTACCTGCGGCGAGTTTCAATTCTATGGGCTCTGAAGCGTTTGAGAAAATGGGAAACTTTTGTGTGGTAAGCCAAAAAACTTGCCGAGTGGGCGTTTCATTGACCAGACTGCAGTGGGAGCTGTTCACTGCTTAAGGAGGGAACATCCCCATCGTGCAAGCCCACGGGCCTGACCCCACGGGGCAGCAGCTGCTGCGAAATGTGTTCAGACACCAAGATGTATGTCTTCCTTCCTCCCCCCACATTTTGAGGTGTTTCTGGGATAGAACATCAGCAATTAGGAAAGTTTATTATGTCTTTCATCAGCGACTAAAATTAATTCTGTAATTCATATCATTTAACATGAGTTTTTGAAATCAGAGCGGCATTTACTGCGGGCATTGAAAGTCTCTTTCGGCTGTGGAATAAGGGGTGCATGAAAGGGCGGAGTTAATCCACACACATAGTTACGGACCCCCGGAGCCGGCCCCCCCCCCGTGTCACCCCTGGCAGCCACTCACGTGGCCTCTGATCAAATGCTTCGAGGGATGAGAAACCACAGCTTTAGAGGTGGCCTGTTTTGTTTTTCTCAGCTTTGTGTGTTTAAAGCAAAAACCTGGCTGTCTGCTAGTGCTCAGCGCCGGCTCCAGGGCCTCGTTCTGGACCGGCACGTCCCCAGGGTGCTGCCCTGCGCCCCGAGGTCTTCCTCACGCTAACGTTGGCCCTGGTGCCCTCGGCTGTGAGCAACATCCAGGCGCTGCCCCGGTTCACACCCTGCGGGGGCGGCCTCTGGCCGTCCAGCTGCTTCCAGGCGCAGCGAGCGTGGTGCCCGGGCGGGTCTGTGGGCCAGAGCGGGACGCCGACCGGGTCCCTCGCCCAGTCAGGGACAAGGAAGCCTCTCTAAGCCTGGTGCACAGAGGACTCTGGTGGCTCCCTCCCGCCCAGAAAGCGTGTGAAAAGCTGCCTGAGCACAGTCTTCTGAGAGGGTCTGTCACTTTGTGAAGATTCTCAAAGGGCCGATGATTCGCCCTTTCTTTTTTTAAAGGAGAACGCTGGCCCGTGCTTCTTCCGTGGCCGTGTAGGATGAGACGGCGGCCGAGTAGGATTGCAGCAACGGCGTCTCCAGCTGTAAAGAAGCTCGCTTTTCTCTCAGGGTGCAACCTCGCTGCACTAACGAGGAGGCCCTGGGTCGTGGTGGCCGCGGGTCCCCTCTGTCGGGGGCCCCTGGCGGGCAGGGGACCCGCTGGTGAGGCAGCGCCAGCCCCGGGCCTGGTTACTTGGAGAACAACAGGGCAGTTTTTGTAAAAAGCTTGTGACTCTCTTGGAAGAGACTCCTTCAGTGGTTGACAATATTAGATTTCCTAAGAACACATGATTACCGCAGATGATGTTACTCAAGCTAGAAATAAGTATAAATATATTGTATAAAGTAAACTAGTAAGTGTTTGGTTTCTTTTTTTTTTTTTTCCACCCCCTTTTTAGTCTGCCGGGTAAACCAGATTATGTCATTCCAATGAATGAGTTTTTTTTTTTTTCTTTGAATAAGGCATTTAATGAATAACATCTACTGTGGAAGCTCTGTGAGCCTAGGGCAAAGCCAGTCTGCTGCAATGTGTATTTACATAGTGATCGAAAGGGAGCCCGGGAATGAATTGTTCACCTGTGCTCCCGGATGAATGGGAAAGAGCAGCCTAATACAAGAATCCAGATTCAGTTGAATCAAAATGATCTTAATCCCTCTCAGAGAAAACGTTATTTCTAGGGAAAACATTAGAATGTTGTTAGGGTAGACGTGCCTTAGAAAACCTCCTGCTAGCAGACAGGGAAATGAAGTTGTGAAACGTCACAACCTACTTTAAAATAAATTTCCTGGCTGGCGCGGTGGCTCACGCCTGTAATCCTAGCACTCTGGGAGGCCCAGGCGGGAGGATCGCTTGATCTCAGAAGTTCGAGACCAGCCTGAGCAAGAGAGTGACCCTGTCTCTACTAAAAATAGAAAGAAATTAACTGGCCAACTAGAAATATATAGAAATAATTAGCTGAGCATGGTGGTGAATCCCTGTAGTCCCAGGGAGTTAGCTACTCGGGAGGCTGAGGCAGAAGGATTGCTTGAGCCCAGGAGTTTGAAGTTGCTGTGAGCCAGGCTGAGGCCACGGCACTCACTCTAGCCCGGGCAACAGAGTGAGACTCTGTCTCAAAAAATAAAAAACAGAATAAAATAAATTTCCTGGAGACGCTGCGCCGCGTGTCCATTCAAAGGCACTTCCCACTCGTTGACCTTTGCCCCCTTCTGTCTGCTTAGGAGTAAGCGGGCGCCATGGATTGGGGGACCCTGCACACGTTCATCGGGGGCGTGAACAAGCACTCCACCAGCATCGGGAAGGTGTGGATCACGGTCATCTTCATCTTCCGCGTCATGATCCTGGTGGTGGCCGCCCAGGAGGTGTGGGGGGACGAGCAGGAAGACTTCGTCTGCAACACCCTGCAGCCGGGCTGCAAGAACGTGTGCTACGACCACTTCTTCCCCGTGTCCCACATCCGGCTCTGGGCCCTGCAGCTGATCTTCGTGTCCACACCGGCGCTGCTGGTGGCCATGCACGTGGCCTACTACAGGCACGAAACCGCCCGCAAGTTCAGGCGCGGGGAGAAGAGGAACGAATTCAAAGACGTGGAGGACATCAAGAAGCAGAAGGTCCGCATCGAGGGGTCACTGTGGTGGACCTACACCAGCAGCATCTTCTTCCGCATCATCTTCGAGGCCTCCTTTATGTACGTGTTTTACTTCCTTTACAACGGCTACCACCTGCCCTGGGTGTTGAAATGCGGGATCGACCCCTGCCCCAATCTCGTCGACTGCTTCATCTCCAGGCCCACGGAGAAAACCGTGTTCACCATTTTCATGATCTCTGCGTCTGTGATCTGCATGCTGCTCAACGTGGCCGAGCTGTGTTACCTGCTGCTGAAAGTATGTTTTCGGAGATCAAAAAGGGCACAGACGCAAAGAAATCACCCCAACCACACCCTAAAAGAGAGTAAGCAAAATGAGATGAATGAGCTGATCTCAGATAGTGGGCAAAATGCGATCACAGGCTTTCCAAGTTAAATACTTCAAGATAAAAATGTAGCTGAGTCACCACAAAACATCCGTCTTCCCCAGAAGGCAGTGCCAATCTGACAATTCCTTCTCTAGGCTCAAGAGTTTGTCTTTATACATGACTTTCATAATACATAGATACTTGTGTTAACTTTTTGTAGACTACTCATGCCGTCCACGTGCAGTGCGATCAGATCTGTGGTCCATCTCCGAAAACAAAAGACTGAGCCTTGAAGTCACTTGGACGTGCTGGTTTCATGTGGACTGTCCGGCATAGTGGGAACTTCCTAAAAGTTTAGTTACTGTTGTTGATAAAGAGCATTCATCTAGAAATTGGTACTTTTTATTAGTAGAAGATGTTTTTATAGGATTGAGATGTTTTTAGTTCTGACTTGGAATTTATATAAAGTGTTTTTATAATGACTGGTCTTCCTTACCTGGAAAAACGCACGATGTCAGGTTTAGAATTATGCCACCGGTATCTGAATTTGGGACTTAGAAAGGGTCTGTCTCGTTGTAAATATTGTTTTGCGTTGCCTGTTGGCAAATCTATGAACTGTCATCATGACACTCTTAAGGTGGGAAGTGTTCACTGTGCCATGTATTTTTTTCTGCTTTCGGAATGTAGAGGAGCGGTACGGAAGTGGGAAGCTTTTCGAAACTAGCCTGTTTGCCAGTCCCTGTGGGCAGCTGCAGTGTGACTGTGATGTCCTCAATAAAGCTCGGCCCGTTGCCTACGCCTCCAGCGCGTTATGGTTTCTGTGCCGCGCAGGCGCCTTGCTGCCCGCCCTAGCGTGCAGAGTCGGCTGGGTGGCTGTTGCTGGGGAGGCCACCAGGAGGTCGGTGGACGGATCAGGGATTGTCGCACCTGCACCGCACATGAGCGGAGCCTGAGCTCAGCAGCGGCCGAGCCCGTATGTGGCTTGCAGAGGGTGGGCTGCATGGAGGACACTGGGAACACTAGGAACCTGCTTGCCCCTCCTCCACCCTGTCCTCCTAGACAGGTTCCAAGTCTTCCTCCTGGAGACTCTCCCCCCTCACCCCAGGCAGCACCCCGCCCTCCTCACCCTGCCCCCCAGTGCCGCTCTGGGGGCCTTTGTGCTTTCCCGGCTTCCCTCTGCTACCTCCTGGACCCTGGGCGGAGGAGAGCCCGCCCCATCCCCTCTGCCCTGGCCCCAGGACGGCCCTTCACATACTGGGCACCAATAAATGGCTGTTGAACCATCTGGCGTCTGGAATGTCAATCCTTTTCCTCCTGACTTTGTGGCGTGGCGCAGCGTGGGGAAGGGACGAAGGCTCCTCGGCTCCCTCACGGCAGGAGACAGGAGGGCAGCTTTCTGAAGCCGGGGAACAGCCTCCCCAAGGGCCAGAGCTGCGGTTGCCATGGCTTCTCCCACCCGCGGGGAGTCGTAGGTGAATGCTGATTGAGGAACAGCGTGGCCCGGCCAAGGCCTTTTCAGGTCATTTTCACAGGGGAAAAAAGTTGGCAACGTAACAGAATGCCTTGAGGCCATTCAGAAGGCAGAGTGCAGTGGGAAAAATTCACCAAGATGAGGAATTAAATTAACTGTGAAACTACAGCCAAGAATCTCTTTAAAGATAATACTACAGACAGCAGAGATACTATCATTAATTACCCTCAGAAATGTGAAGGAACTTCTTAACCTTAAATTATTTCCTGGCATGATTTATTAGACACCAAAATAATTTATTTCTAGCTTTTTCCTAACCTAATTTTTAAATTTATGGATTCGGGATTAATGTGGTCTGTTAAATTACGCCTAGCACTAAGCTACAAGTAATTATCTCTTTATATGCCACGTTACTCTTAATTCATCTCTTATTAACTAGGATCAGTTTCCCATTCGGAATGTCATAATACAGCTGGAGACAGTCTCTTCTGACTGTAATCAGCGTCTATTCAACTTTTCAGTGTGTGGAGAAGGGAAGGCATAAATCCAGAGGGGAACTGATTGTGCCCTGCTGACCTTCAGCCCTACGAGAGAGAAACGAATGGTCTTCCAGACTCTGCTCAAGGGAAGGGGGCGCCCAGCCAAGGGCGCCCAGATATGCCAGGGATTCATATCTGAGTTCAGCACTAACATCAGAGAGATGCTCGTGGCCGAAAACGTGCCATAGCCTCTAACCTACTTAGCAGATGCTTGGGATTTGAAGTTTTACCATATTGTGTTTCCTGGCTGCACACCACAGTCTAACACAAGCAGAAGACAGACACCCCTCGGTTGGAGCTAACGCTAATGGGGTCCAGATCGTAAGTTTCTCCTGAAGTACATCTGTCTGAAGACTTCTTCTCAGTCAGCTCAGGCGGCTATAACAGAATACCACAGCCTGGTGGCTTCTAAACAACAGAAATTTATTTCTCACAGTCCTGGGGGCTGGAAGTCCCAGATAAGAAAACATCAGTGAATTGAGGGCCTGCTTCCTGGCCCATAGCTCGGGCCTCCCAGCTGCGTCTTCACAGGGCAGGAAGGCAAGGGAGCCTCTTTTATAAGGTAGCAACTCCATTCCACCTAATCACCTCCCAAAACCCCACCTCCTAACACGATCACACTGGGCGTTAGGAGCCCGGCATGTGAACTTTGCGGAGGATACAAACATGCAGCCCGTAGCAAGCGCCAGGTCCAGTTGCAAGATCATAAGGACTAAATTAACATCAACTCTAGCCCATAGCTTCCCGAATCTACTAGATCAGAATTTCTGGTCCCACAGCCCAGACGTCTGTATTTTTTAACAAACTTCAGACTTGATTTGTATACATTCGGCCTCCTTGGAGGTCCCCATGCAGCAGGCAAACTTGTCACAGGTCAGAGTGCCAAAGAACCACCTGGTGAGGTCATTTAAGGCGTTCCTCCCCATCCATGCTGGAGGGTCTAACGCGTCAGCCTGGGGCGGGCGGGCTCGGGAAGATGCATTTTTGCAAGTTCCTCAGGCGATCCTCACCTCGGGACTGGCCTTCAGAAACGCTCCCAGACGCGAGCCCTGTCATGCAAGTCCTTTGAAAACAGCGGCAGCTCTTGGAAGCTGCTCCACTTACAGACCCAGGTCTGTAAGATCTATGCCACCTTCAGCCACAGGCTGCCGAAAACTGGTGTATAAAAGCTATAGGTGGGCTCTTCTCCGCCCTGTGTGCTCCAAACATGAGTTCGCCCTTTCAGCAACTCGTGCCCACAGGGAGGGGGCAGGAGGGTCCCCAGCGGCTGGGTGCCGCCGCGCCGCCCTGGGCGAGGACTTCCCGGCCCGGTGAGGACTCAGCCTTTCCAGCACCCTCGGCCAGCCCGTCCCTCCCCGCAGGAGCGAAACCACATGAAAGGCTTCTGATGGGTTCTTTGCGGGATCCGGTTTCTGTCCTCAGCATCATCGTGTCTGCTCCTTTGGCGCTGCAGACCTGCCCTCTGTCTCCGCCCGCCCCTGGCTTTGAGGCCCCGCCGCCGCTATCTCCTCTCGCCCTCCTTTCAGAACGTCGCCCTTGTCTTCCTCAGCGTGGACGCGGGCGGGAGCCCAGCGCATCGCCCGCCCGGCCGAGTGTCCCGCTCTGCCAGGCTGCAAGCAGGGAGGCCCGCAGAGCCCTGCCCCGGCGGCTCCGTCCCCCAGCTCCGCGCCCGGCGTCCTGCAGAGCGAGCCCCTTGGTGTGGACGCGCACCTGCCCCGCTCCGCCCGCCAGGCCCCGCTCGCCCCGGAGCGCGCGTCTAATGTCCCGTCCCGCAGGGCAGGGGCCTTGCCCAGAGCCGGCCAGGCCACCGGGGTGGTAGGGAAGGGCAAAGACTCCAATTCCAGTACCACTGACTGTTCCCTGTCACCCCGCCTGGGGCGCAGCGAAATGGGAAAGGGCGGACAGCAGGCTCGGCTGCCCCCAAGGCCTCGTCCCAGAGGCTGCCTTGTGTCCTGCCCTCAACCCCGTCCGGTCCCCGTGCTCACCCTGGGGAGGAAGGTGGACAAGGGCCGGAGCGGAGGCGGCCTGCTGGGTTGGATGCCCAGGACCCCAAAGGTCCCCTCCCCGTGCAGGAGCACCTGCCCCACCTGCCACCTGTCTGCCCAGCCAGCACCAGAAATTCACACCAAGGGACTGACCACAGCCAGAAACATACCTTTCTACACTTTTAGGAATTTCCCCTACAGAAACACTCAAGTGCAGAAAGATGCATAAACAAGAATGTGTTTGCAAAATTATTTATAACAGTAAAAAATACGGAAACAATGTATGCATCCATTATTAAAGAATAACTGCAGAGACATTAGCCAGTATTTGTGAACGGTTACTCACCTTTGTGAAGAACAGACATTGGACTGTTGTAAATGGCAGGGGAGGGAAGCAAAAGCAGAGTTTATGAAAGAAAGGGAAGGAAAAGGAGAGAGAATAAAACACAGTGTGAGAATAGTGAGGCTTTTTAAAAATTCAGAATATTACAGAGGCACAAACATTTTGGTTACATGAATTGCTTTTGTACAGTTTGAGTCAAAGTTACAAGTGTGTCCATCACCCAGATGGTGATGTACCTGTTAAGTGTGAATTTACCCATCCCTCCTTCCCCCCACCTGCTTGATTTCCATTGAATTTTACTTCCATACATACTCATACCAGTGTTGATCATTTAGTTCCAATTTAATGGTGAGTCCATGTGGTGTTTGTTTTTCCAGAGAACAGTGAGTTTTGTTTTGGTTTGGTTTTTTTGTATTGTCCAAAAGCCTTGAGAGTTTCGCTGCCACGTGTACAAGTCGGGCTGTCGCTGTGCAGAATCTGCCAGCTCCTTTTGCTAGCAGCTCCGGCTCAGGGGAGCCTAGTCCACACCATTTCCGTCGTCAGAACTTCCTCACAATTGGTAGGGAAACGGTTAACAAATTATAGTTGAACTGTGCTGTAGCATGACAGGCAGCTGTTAAACAGAACAAGGCAGCTCTGTATGCACTGACATGGCACAACATGTGCTATGCCTCATTTGTGCAGACACGCACATAAACTTGAGTGCATATGTGTGTGTGAGTGTGTGTGTGTGTGTGCATGTGTGTGTGAGTGTGCGTGTGTGAGTGTGCATGTGTGTGAGTGTGCATGTGTGTGTGAGTGTGCGTGTGTGAGTGTGCA